CCGGCTATGATACGGAGAGTTCAGCTGTACTTGAGAAACGAAAGACAGTGTTGTGTTTCTCGGCAGAGTCGTCAGGGAACGACCGTTACGACAGAGACAACCTGTCTATCGCTCGTGTCTCACTCGTTATAACCTAAAACAATAACAAGACATTATCTGACCGCATGTTCCAGCTATTTATGAATGAGATGCTCAGTCTATATTTTATTTTAAGTCTATGTGCTACGCAAAATCTGATTGAAGCAAATTTGTGGGATGTCCACTGCGCATCGAGGGGCGTCTCTTATTTTATAGTTCGTCACGTCTCTAGCTATACTTGTTAAGTTGTACAAAATTACTTTGCTATCGCTTTGAAACATGAACAAAGTTGCACCCCCGGCCTGCGAGATCTTTTATTTTAGGTTATGTTTGAATTGTTTTGAATTATTACTTTAGTTTTATTAGGTAATTTTATATTTAAGTAGCTGGGATTAGTTTTAATTAAATAAATATGGCCCAAAATATGGATTCCACCTCTTCCAGTATTAAAGAACCTATAAAGAGGCTTAGGTTTACAGCAGATGACGACTTAGCCCTTCTAAGAGAATTTGTTGCTTGTTGTCCTAAACCCACTGGCTGACGTTGAACAATAAAGCACTGGAAATAAGCACTTTAACCCTTTAGTTTTAAAATACCTAGTAAACAAAACAATTTCAAAGTTAGGTTAAGTTCAAATAGCGGACGCGACGCGAACAGAATTCTTTCCGATCCGATAACTATAAATGAAGAGAGTTAATACCACCTCGCGTAAAGGAAATAACACCTGGCCTTATTAACGTCCATGCACGCTATTCGGTTTAGCGATATCTCTCTATTACGCTGTTTATTGTTATTTTACGCGAGTTTATTTTTGCGCACAGGAAATTTTACTCGTTTGCACATCGTCATAAAAAACAATTTTCGCACCACGAATGGGGATAAGATTTTTATCTGTATACATATAGTATACCTAATCTGTGGTATGATCGTCGTTCTTCAGTAACAGTAAAACAAAAAAATACCGCTCCAAAATGTTATTATAATATATATAATTGTATAAGTATCCAGTACTTCTTACAGCTATGTGAAACAGAAAAAAGCAAAGAAAAACAAACATATATAAAAAATCGTAAATCCATTTCTCGATTTAGTAAAACTAGGAAAAGCCAAATATTTACCAACACGGATTCTTCCTGTTCTGACTCCCTTCGACTTTATTTATAACGATTTCCGAGACAGAAACTCTGCAATTGATGTTTATCCGAGTTGGTGAGAGCTCAAATCTGATCCCAAACAGAACGGACGGTTCAAAATGAAATTGGCGCGTTAAACTTTCTCTGCGAAGACGAGAAATAAAAGAAAGTTTCATGCTTCCCCGAGCTCGTACGTTTTATAAAAGTTACTTATCTCTTAATCCCACGATGCAATGCTTTAGGGAAAACAAACAGATGATACTGAATAGACGAAAAAGTATTTAAAAGCATTTCCAGATTAAAGCAGTTAAGATAAAACATGGTCCGTCTGTTTCCACTTCTCGCTCTCGAGGAGTTTTTTGTTATCATTATTAAAGGAGGGCAGCAGAATAGTGAGATGCTTTTGGAGAAAATAATGCCGGCACTTTGGCAGATCTAGGGTTGGAAGTAAAAAATCGCTTGAATAATTTCTTCTTTTAAATTACGCGAGTAATTTATTTATTTTTAGCAATTTTTATATACCTTTTCACCTTCGAATTTTTTCATCAAACAGTGGCGGATTAACCATAAGGTCAAACGATCAATGCCCCCCAAAAAAATCAGGAGAAAATTTTATACTTTTTGTAAATCACTTTTCTTCATCCTAAAATATTCAAAATTATTCCCAATTTATCCAATTTTCGCTTGAAAACATTCTATTTTACCCATTTTCTCTACTGCCGGCCAAAATTTCATTTTTGTCCTTCGTTCCCGCTGTTTTATACGTATTAAACTCCAAGTGCCGCAGCTCGTGACGCCAACAAGGTAAGGTATACTACGTATAGAAAATATAATTGCTTTATTGTTCAACGTCTGCCAGTGGGTTTAGGGCAACAAGCAACAAATTCTCTTAGAAGGGCTATGTCGTCATCTACTGTAAACCTAAGACTCTTTATAGGTTCTTTAGTATTGGAAGAGGTGGAATCCATATTTTGGGCCATATTTATTTAATTAAAACTAATTCCAGCTACTTAAATATCAAATTACCTAATAAAACTAAAGCAATAATTCAAAACAATTCAAACATAACCTAAAATAAAAGATCTCGCCGGCCGGCTCCGGTTGTCAAATACCCGCACATGCCCATTTAAGCAATTTTTAAACGTTATCAGAGGTTATTTAGAAAGAGCGCTTGGTGTACAGTACGTCTGTCCGTTCTGTAGCTCGATATTCTCTCGATGTTTTTCGTAAAAAATTAGACGACGCGTCCCATCAATAAAAATTTGACAAATTTGCAAGTAGCCAATAAAATGAGTGGGCGGAGCGATTTGCGGTGACGTACTCGTCAAGTCGACGTATAAAATATATTGCTGTTTATTTAAATGTTTTTTGGCCGCATTCCTTTCATAAACACAGATCCAGCAGACGTACTTTAATCGATCCGCAAATTACGTCAGGTGGTAACGTTATTAGCGGGTGTTGCGTTAAAAATTGACTCGCGCATATCGTAACCATGATAAGATACGCGTAAATACTGGATGACGCTATTCGGTTTTCCGATATCTCTCTAATAACTGTGCCGGTCGGGCGCTGTGCACAATTTTAGAGCCCATAAGTGAGCGTGCTATGTGCGCAAACTAGTAACCCAACTAGTGCCCGATTCCGAAAATTGGAACCACGAAAAACAATAAAGAAAAAACAAAGATTATAATCTGTATAATCTGTGGTAATACTGTGTTAAAATGTAAATATATCAGTTGTTTTTATGACGTCCAAGATTATAATAACTATAATGACGTACTCGTCAAGTCGACGTATAAAATATATTGCTGTTTATTTAAATGTTTTTTGTCCGCATTCCTTTCATAGTACATACACAGATTACTTACATAGTAGATACACAGATCCAGCAGACGAACTGTATATAACTATGGTAAATCTGACCCAGATACAATAAAAACGTATATATACGTATAAAATAGGTCACCGCAAATCGCTCCTCCCACTCATTTCATTGGCTACTTGCAAATTTGTCGAATTTTTATTGATGGGACGCGTCGTCTAATTTTTTACGAAAATAATCGAGAGAATATCGTTTCCCCTCTCACTGATACCCCGTAGCTACAGAACGAACAGACGTACTGTACGTATAGGTATTTTTTAGTAAAATAAGTGACCAAAAACAAACAATTCCCAAATAAATAATAAATTTTTAGGGCGTGGATACAGCCAATTACCTTGGTAATTTATCTTAGCTACCCGAACACAGACAAAAAGAAAACTGTAGGGTAATGGTCGAGTATGCTGATGTAAACAACAAACGACTAGATAATTTCCACCTAGTGTATTTTCCGGCATTTTCCCTAAAGTTTTTGTCGAGAACTAGTTAACTTGATGTATAGTGCTGTTACTTTTGTTTTTTATCTTGTCTGCGAAGAAGATAAACGCCTATTCTGATTAATAGTATCTTTTAATGCTTTATTTACTGTATATTAACATATTTTTACTGCTTTTTTGTTCCTTTCCTATAAATAATATGATGTTATCATAAAACTAGTTTATTGTACAGTACTTGTAATGCTCCAGTTGTTTTTACAGAAAAATAGAATAGCATAGAAAATCAATTATTTATATGAAAAAAAGAAGAACTTTTATGGAACTTACTTAAAATTAACTGATGCTAAAATTTTATAAACTAAATAATATTTTTTAATTATATTAAATAATTATATGATTAAACAAAATACAAGAAGCAAGAAACTAAGGCCAAAAAAACCCTACATATATGCTTATTCTCAGACTGAAGGGAAAAGGGGACAGACATTCGACGACCGGTTTCGGAGATTTATCTCCATCGTCAGGTCGACTTTGCTGTAACCATCAATCTGACAAACGAAAAGCAGATAATAGTATTTGAGTACAAAACGTACTACTATGGCGAGTGCTAGCCGCTCTCGCCATCTAGCGGCAGCTGTAACAATTACAGATCGCACCGCCAAACATTTTTTTTTGGCCTTAATTTTTTGCTTCTTGTATTTTGTTTATTTATATAAACCCTAAACCCCTAAACTATGGCAATTATCTGAAAAACAACAGAACAACTACAAGTAGCACAAAGAGCCATGGAAAGAATCATATTGGGAGTCACCATTAGGGAAAAAATACGGAATACCCACATACGTCAAAAAACAAAATTAATAGATGTCGTTAAAAGAGTGGCGAGTCTGAAGTGGCAATGGATAGGACATGTGGCAAGACAGGATCCAGACCGATGGCCCCAAAAAGTAATCCTATGGAGACCTAGGGAAACAACAAGAAGTGTGGGCCGACCAAAAAAGAGATGGGTCGATGACGTCAGGGCAGTGGTGGGAAGACAATGGATAAGATTGGCTAGAGATCGCGAAGCATGGAAAAACCTAGAAGAGGCCTATATCTAACACTGGATGGAACCAGGCTGAGAAAGATATAAACCCTACCAAGCCTTCAGCTCCATGCCTAACGTAGATGAATCAAGCAAAATTATATTATTGCCTATTTAATAGGTTTGAAAATTATTTCAGATTTATTGCAAATAATTATGAAGTTATCTACTGCATAACATAAAACACAACAATTAACAGTTTTTATTAATAAAGAAAATTAAAACTGCAATAAATATGCTCATTATGCTGTACAAAAATTTATTATAATGCCTAAATCTAATTATATACAATATACAAAGCCATATACATTTTTATACAAACAATCCAGAGAATAGATTTATCAGAAGAAGAAAAATCAAATATTACTATTTTTAAACTGACCCAAAACCTATGCTACAGGCAAATATCTAGTGCCCGGAGTTGAAATTTTTGCTATGGGAGTTGTAATTCTTGTTGTAGGTGGTGGAGGAGTTCTAGATGTTGTAGAGGGCGTGTACCTTGTTGTAGTGGAATACCTTTGTGTAGTGCTTAAAGTTTTTGGTTGCGTGTATGTTGTTGTAATTTGAGGTAGAGTAGTTCTAATGGACGTGGTTCTAGGTGTTGTTACTATAGTAGAGAACTGGGTTGATGGCGGGAGATACGAATTATTAGGTGGAAATTTTTTGATCTTAGGTGTTGTATGTCTTGTTGATGATTGTTTTGTTGAAAAATTACTTGTCGCAGTTGTGTATGTTATAGGATGAAGAGGTGTTACGACTGTTGAAAGAGGTTTTGACGGTGGAAGGTATGCATTATTTGGAGGTATAGATTTAAACTTAGGTGTTGTATATGTTGTCGTTGTGAATATTATTGGAGGGCTCGTAGTATATTTTGTTGTTTGTACAGTAATTCTAGAAGGTGAGGTTTGTAGTGATGTTACTTCAGTGGGTGAAGACGTTATCGGTGGAAGATACGTTTTATTTGATATAACGGTTTGCAACTTTTTCAGTGTTGTATATCTTGGTGTTGGAGGTCTTGTTGGTGTAGGCCTTGTTATTGGAGCACTTACCACAGATGTCGGTTTACTTGTTACTGGTTTTAATGTTGGAGGAAGATAACTATTATTTGGCTTAATGGCTTCATAATTAATTTGAGATTGTTTTTCTATAATAGGAGGTTTTAAAGTATATCTAATTGATGGTTGTATTTTTAATGTGGTAGATCGACGTGTTGTCGTAGTAGTGAAAGGTCTTGTGGTTGTGTAACTTATGGTATGAGTTTTTAAAGGGGGAAGATATGAGGGGTGCACTATTTTAGAACTTAAATGTACTGGCGTTGTTGGAGGTTTTGCTGTACGTATTGTTATAAAAGTTGGAGGTTTTGTATTTGACTGAATATCCTTCACTGTTACGGGTGGTTTTGTTGTTGAAGTTACAGTCCGTCTAGTGGTTGTTGGTAGTTGAAATGCATGCGTAATTTTAGGCACAGAATATTGATAACCACTCTTAATAGTTGTTGTAGATGGTTTGATAGATTTTAGTTTATACGTAGTAGTTTTTTGAAAAATACTTTGCGTTGGACGAATTATACTGGTTGTTGGAGGTTTATAGTGTGTAGTTCTAGGTGGCTTTGTTGTAGTTCTTACTGTAGTTGTAGTGAATCGACTAGTAGGTGGTGGTCTATATGTAGTAGTGGTTGTTGGTTGGCCTGAGGTTGTTAAGCGAGTAGTGATTTTATTTGATGGAAATGGAACTTTAGGAACTGGGTAATCATACCCTATTTTATGAGAAACCCTTGGTGTGGGAGGAGTTGTACTTATTATTGGAGGTCTATAGACTGTAGTTTTAGATGGCTTTGTTGTAGTTCTTACTGTAGTTGTAGTGAATCGACTAGTAGATGATGGTCTATACGTAGTAGTGGTTGTTGGTTGGCCTGAGGTTGTTAGGCGAGTAGTGATTTTATTTGATGGAAATGGAACTTTAGGAACTGGGTAATCATACCCTATTTTATGAGAAACCCTTAGCGTGGGAGGAGTTGTACTTGTTGCTGGCGGTTTAGAGTCTGAAGTTGTAGATGGCTTTCTTGTAGTTCTTACTGTAGTTGTAGTGAATGGTCTAGTAGATGGTGGTCTATACGTAGTAGTGGATTTTGCTCGACCTGGGGTTGTTAAGCGAGTAGTGAATTTATTTGATGGAAACGGAACTTTAGGAACTGGGTAATCATACCCTATTTTATGAGAAACCCTTGGTGTGGGAGGAGTTGTACTTATTATTGGAGGTCTATAGACTGTAGTTGTAGATGGCTTTGTTGTTGTTCTTACTGTAGTTGTAGTGAATCGACTAGTGGATGGTGGTCTATAGGTAGAAGTGGTTGTTGGTTGGCCTGAGGTAGTTAAGCGAGTAGCGATTTTATTTGATGGAAATGGAATTTTAGGAACTGGGTAATCATACCCAATTTTATGAGAAACCCTTAGCGTGGGAGGAGTTGTACTTGTTGCTGGCGGTTTAGAGGCTGAAGTTGTAGATGTCTTTGTTGTAGTTCTTACTGTAGTTGTAGTGAGTGGTCTAGTAGATGGTGGTCTATACGTAGTAGTGGATTTTGCTCGACCTGGGGTTGTTAAGCGAGTAGTGAATTTATTTGATGGAAATGGAACTTTAGGAACTGGGTAATCATACCCTATTTTATGAGAAACCCTTGGTGTGGGAGAAGTTGTACTTATTATTGGAGGTCTATAGACTGTAGTTGTAGATAGCTTTGTTGTAATTCTTACTGTAGTTGTAGTGAATCGACTGGTAGATGGTGGTCTATACGTAGTAGTCGTTGTTGGTTGCCCTGAGTTTGTTAAGCGAGTAGTGATTTTATTTGATGGAAATGGAACTTTAGGAACTGGGTAATCATACCCTATTTTATGAGAAACCCTTTGCGTGGAAGGAGTTGTGCTTGTTGCTGGCGGTTTAGAGGCTGTAGTTGTAGATGCCTTTGTTATAGTTCTTACTGTAGTTGTAGTGAGTGGTCTAGTAGATGGTGGTCTATACGTAGTAGTGGATTTTGCTCGACCAGGGGTTGTTAAGCGAGTAGTGAATTTATTCGATGGAAATGGAACTTTAGGAACTGGGTAATCATACCCTATTTTATGAGAAACCCTTGGTGTGGGAGGAGTTGTACTTATTATTGGAGGTCTATAGACTGTAGTTGTAGATGGCTTTGTTGTAGTTCTTACTGTAGTTGTAGTGAATCGACTGGTAGATGGTGGTCTATACGCAGTAGTGGTTGTTGGTTGCCCTGAGGTTGTTAAGCGAGTAGTGATTTTATTTGATGGAAATGGAACTTTAGGAACTGGGTAATCATACCCTATTTTATGAGAAACCCTTGGCGTGGGAGGAGTTATACTTGTTGCTGGCGGTTTATAGGCTGTAGTTGTAGATGGCTTTGATGTAGTTCTTACTGTAGTTGTAGTGAATGGTCTAGTAGATGGTGGTCTATAGGTAGTAGTGGTTGTTGTTCGGCCTAGGGTTGTTAGGCGAGTAGTGATTTTATTTGATGGAAATGGAACTTTGGGTACTGGGTAATCATACCCTATTTTAGATGAAACATTTGGTGTTGGATGAATTTTACTTGTAGTTGGCGCTCTATAAGTTGTAGTTGTGGATGGCTTTATAGTTGTTGTTGTTGACACTTTGGTAGATGGTGGTGTTGTAGTACTGGCTGCTGGCCGACTTGATGTTATTAACTGAGTTGTAACAACAGGTGGTGGAAATTGAACATTAGGTTTAGGGTAATCATATCCTATTTTCTGAGAGAAATTTGGACGAATTGTACTGGTTTTCAGCTCTGTATATGTTGTAGTTGTAAATTGTTCCTTTGTTGTTCTTGCTGTAGTCGTTGTTGTTAATGGTGTGGTAGATGGTGGAATATACGTAGTAATAGTTGCTGGTCGCCTTGATGTTGTTAACTTTGTCGTAACAACAGGTAGTGTGAATGAAACATTAGGTTTAGGATAATTATATCCAATTTTCTTTGAATCACTTGGTATATCAAATGGTATAGAAGGCACAGAATAAACATATCCGGTTTTTTGGTTAATCTGCCGCTTTGCTCGTTCAATAAAAAATCCTTTTTTATTTTTTATTTCATCGTAATTAATACCATTTGTCGATTGGTTATAACCTCTTTTGTACCTAACAGTCTTATATTGCTTTGATGCAAATTCGTAGTCTTCAGTACCAAAGCATCGTGATATCAAGAGAACGGCACAGCATACGTAGGCTGCATAGATATTCTGAAAAAAAATAGAAATTTACTCTTGACTAACTGAACTAATTAGACAATTTAGAAGAATTTGTAAATGAATATTTGGCAGAAATAAGATCAATTTCTAATATAGTTAAATATATTTCAGAAATCACTTTTATTGGTAGCATTTATTTGGATAAAATCTTAAAATCTGTATTCGTTAAAAATATAAAATATTTTTCTATTATTTATTAATTTCTTATAAATATGTAGGTATATTAATTACCTTCCTTGTACGCCGAACGGCTCGAGCATGGCAAGCTGTACCTTGCTACTCCCAAGGCGTTAAACGCTATACCGGGTGCGTCTCAAAAGTGGCTCACCCCCATAACTTTTTTATTTTTTTAGTTAAAAAAAACGATATTTGGTATTTTAGTATATGACATAAATTAGGATTGATTGATGTATTCAATTGTTTTCGGTCACTTCCTGTTTCAACGGAAATGACTACAACTTTTGATTTTTAAATGGCACCCTAGGTATTTTTTTATTTTATTCGATAGAAAATAACACTCTGAATAAAATGACATATCATATGTCACCATTTTGGCATTCGAATTATAACTTGCGGTTCGTAACGAAAATTTGACTCAAAATACCCAGTGTGTATTATCAAATTATTCGTAAAAAAATGCCTTTTCCAAATATGCTAATGGGCCACCCTGGTTCCATTTGAAAAAAGGATTGGGATACGATAAAAATACGATTTGGGCATCTTTTAACCGGCCAGGACAAGACACTAAAAACATTAGACGATCAAATCTATTTTTCCAAGACTTCTTCATTAAGAATTAGTGTTTCATAGCCATGGCACTCTAGATTGAAATTTAAAATACTATTTTTTATTAAGCGAGAATATCAAAGTTGACATATGATATGTCATTCTATTCAGAATATCATTTTCTATCGAATAAAGTAAAAAAATACCGAAGGTGCCATTTAAAAATCAAAAGTTGTAGTCATTTCCGGTGAAACAGGAGGTGACCGAAAACAATTGAATACGTCAATCAATCCCAATTTATGTCATATACCAACATACCAAATCTCGTTTTGTTATCTGAAAAAATGAAGAAGTTATAGGGGTGAGCCACTTTTCAGACGCACCCGGTATACGGGAGCTATTATTATATTATTATTCAATTTTTTTTCAACATTATTTATCTATTTGAATATTATATAGCTCCGAATAGTCGAGTATGGTATTAAAAAAGTAAAACAAACCTATACCGTATTAAGAAAAATGTGTAAAAGTTACTAATTGATCAGAAAATATGCATAGAGAAAAAATCTAAAATATTTTAATTTGAAATTAAATAATCTAAAACAAATAAATTTGAATTGGTAAGATTATGCAAAAATTGACATTACGAAATGCGTCTTTGACTTGACAAGCTTAATAAGAAGGCGACTGGCGACGACGGTCAAATTTAAAATTTAAATTTTTATTGACCGCTGTATATGAATCTTCACTTTCAATTCTAAAATGTTACGCTTTGTGTGTGTATTATAATGAGGGATCCCTGATATTTACAGTATTATTAATAAATTATTAATTATCATTTATCATATAATTTTATTTATAGAAGAGCATTAAATTTTTTATACAGTACATTAGATTTTAGAAATGCAATAATAAAAATATTTGACACAGAATATCTAAAAATGTGGCACAATACAGGGTGGCGCATCACATAAAACGCGGAGGCCTCATAGACAACAACAGTTTGTATTGAAATTAAATTTTGGGTTCATAATATACAGGGTTGTTCACCACATACGACACGGAGTGTTGTAGCTAAACGATTAGATTTTTACAAATTGTAAGTTTTGAGTTCGTTGAAGGACTATTAGAGCTACAATTTAAAAATATTTTTACAGGATACAGAGTGTCCTAAATAAATAAAAAATATCAAAGTTGTATTTTTTAAATGGAACACCCTGTATATTATTACATTTTTAGTTTCTACAATTAAAATAAAGGTAAATTTGATTAAGGTTTAGCATACTTAAACCTTACCTTTTTTGAAATATTTTCAATTTTGTGAAATTGCAGTAAAAATTTTAAGGCTTTATTTCTCCAAGGGTTTCAAAGTTTTTAATACTAAATATTTACTGAAGTTTATTTATTGATCAGTTATTGTGTTGCAATAATGAAAATTATACTACCTTGTACAGAGTGTCTAAAATTTTATTTTAAATAATTACTAGATTTAAACGGCAATAACTTGTTTAATTTAAATAGAACGCCCTGTATATTTTGGGAGAATCAGATGCATAATTTAATTGTCTATCAAATTGTATTATACCACTTTTTATCTATCCCTTCAAGTTTTCGTAGAAAATGCATTTTCTTATAATTTAGACTTCATTTATCAATACACCCATCGAATATTGACATTTTAGATTGTTTTTAAAGCAACAAAAATGTACAAAATGTACAGGCTAGTAATATTATCGTTTTTAACAAAGTGATAATATTACTAGCCCATTTGTATGCAACAAGAAAACTATTTAAATCTTCATAAAAGAGTATACCATTAATTAAATATACCTCCATTATTTCCGCCCAAATACTAATTAATTACATACTTAATTATGTTCGTGAATAAATTATTCTAAATAAATGTGGATTTGAATCAGAAATCTATATAATAATAAGTTATAAAAATGAATGTCTCTGTTGTTACAAATAAGCATTTGTCAAAAAATTAAATATAATTTTTAAGATGTTACTTTTTACCACACTGTCTAATACACATAAAAATCACACAATTATTATCATCGATTTTCATTCCCCAACTGTGCCATACTAAACAAAACGCTTTCTATTAATAAATTAATTATTAAATATTGCAAATATAAAATTACATTTATTAATATATACCGCATTTCCCAATATTTTTTATAGTTTATTATCCAAACAACGGTATAAAATTCGAATGGTATTACTAGAACCTACCATCTCATTAACGTTTCATTGACATGGAGGAAGACGACGGACGCAACAGTTTCATACACACACCACAAAACACAAAATCAAAATAACTTTATTATAATAAATTGACAAACTTTTATATTTTTTGTGAAGGTAATCAACATTTCGGAATCCTATCGTTCGAAAATCTATTTTTTTTCCCTGAAAATCTAAAGATGCCGTGAATAACAAATATACAACAATATATAGGCCAATCAAATTAGAGACATCGCTCAAAAAAAAAGTGCTGGAAAGCTAATTATTAATTTAATTGGTTCATTCGATGTGAAAGAGAAGTTTCCTAGGTTTGCACAATTGCTCGACCGCCGCTTGACTCAGGAGGCCCAGAAGATGGTAAAATTTTCGGACTTTTATCAGATTTTCGTCTATAGATCCGATACGTTGCGTTTTCGTGACACATTCATTCGATTCGGTTTAGTAGTATCGCTAAAATTGAGTGTTGAAGATTGGTAATATTTACCCACTTTGTTGAAAATGCATTAAAGTGACATTGAATTATTGTCCGTCACGTGGAAAAGTGACGTAGCGAGGAAGTCGCAGGCCTGTGTCAACGAATAATAATTTTATTCTATTTTTAATAAAAAAGAGAACACTTCTTTATATTATAATAATATACAGGGTTGTTCACGACATACGACACGGAGTTTTGTAGCTAAGACTTTTACAAATTGTAAGTTTTGGTTTCGTTAAAGGACTATTAGAGGGACAATTTAAAAATATTTTTACATGATACAGAGTGTTCCAAATAAAGAAAAAATATTAAAGTTGTATTTTTTTAAATGGAACACCCTGTATATTATTACATTTTTAGTTTCTACGATTAAAATAAAGATAAATTTGATTAAGGTTTATCACACTTAAACCTTACCGTTTTTGAACCATTTCCAATTTTGTGTAATTGCAGTACAAAATTTAAGGTCTCATTTCTCCAAGGGTATCAAAGTTTTTAGTACTAAATATTTACTGAAGATTATTTATTGATGAGATATTGTGTTGCAATAATAAAAATTATACTACCTTATACAGAGTGTCCAACAATTTATATTAAATAATTACCTACTACCTTTAAACGGCAATAACTCGTTTAATTTAAATATAACACTTTGTATATTTTGAGAGAATCAGATGCACAATTCAATTGTCTCTCAAATTGTATTATACCATTTTTACCTATCTCCTCAAGTTTTCGTAGAAAATGCATTTTCTTATAATTTTAGACCTCATTTATCAATATACCCATGGAATATTGACATTTTAGATTGTTTTTAAAGCAACAAATGTACAGGCTAGTAATATTATCGTTTTTAGCAAAACGATAATATTACAGTTGAGGGATGAAACCTTTGGTGTTACACAGCAAAATAAAACACTAAATCACCACAATATACCTAAACACTTTTACTTTTACACTGGACGCGCGTTTCACTAACCATGTTAGCATCATCAGCAGATGATTATAAACTGCTACTATAAAAAATAAGTTTATAATCATCTGCTGATGATGCTAACATGGTTAGCGAAACGCACGTCCAGTGTAAAAGTAAAAGTGTTTTATTTTTTTAGTGTTTTATTTTAAAACGATAATATTACTAGCCCTTTGTATACAAAAAGAAAACTATTTAAATCTTTATAAAAGAGTATATCATTAATTAAATATACCACCATTATTTTCGCCCAAATACTAATTAATTGCGTACTTAATTGTGTTAAATAATAAATTATTCTAAATAAATGTGAATTTGAAATTTGAATGAAAAGAGGTCAGTGGCGCACAAGTTTTTTTTAGAAAAATATTCGAAGGATATGCACATCCCTGGTGAATTTGTCGACACTTTTTTGCATTAAAATATATAGTAACTTTTACGTAGTATTTCTAGCTTGGAAAGAAAGCCGAATCGGACCTATCTATGTAGATATAAAAATTAAATTTTATTATTATATGAGAAATATTCCCACGAGTGATATCACTTGTTTTTTATTCAATCACCCTGTATAGTTAAGTCAAATATTTTTATTTATATTTAAATAAGCAACGGAACTAGATAACTTGTTAATAAAATGAAGAATAATACAGATAACCATTGGGAAATTTTCATTTTATGTCCTAAAACCGAGTGGGGAATTTCTTTTTGGCGGTCCAAAATTTGCCAACGTTATAGGCGATAAAATTTTACGAGGTATTTTGGGAGTTTACAGTAATCAGTTTACTGTGAGGGAATAGAAATTACTTTTGGCGGTTGTATTCTGTCAGGAATACAAATGGCAGAAAATAACTTAACATTGTTTTTCTTACACTTCTTTCTACTAAACTCAATAATTATTAGTAACTCTAGTCACATTGGTGTTTATGTATATGTGACAAAACTTTCAAGATTTTGTCCGTTATCATGGTAGTGTGGCCTTTATATTATTATTATAATTAAAATAATTTAATCAAATATAGATTATCGTTTACATATAGTAACAAAATATAACTAACCAGCTAAAAATAGAAGTTATAAGGTATCGCACTTTTATGGTAAGGGCTCTTTCTAAATTCAGTTACTATAAACTCTATTGCCACTTACCTTATTACGTCAACATCCATCAGCAATACATCAACAACAAGAACCTGTCGAAGATTGCATTGATCCCCTTGTAGATCTACCTCTTCGGTCTTGGACTGATACTTTGGATTGAACCACTCGACCGGTTATCACAGTGTTCTTTTAAATAACTTAATATTTTAGTGATTAAGTGAAATAAAGAAATAAAATGCCGATTTTTCACAACACCTAACTATATTTAATATAAAGAAATAAATAAATAAAAAATAAAGAAAAAGATTTAACAACAAAACATTTATAATTAATGAAAAAGAAAGAAATTGAATCAAAAATAATTAATCACAATTAGAGAATTGAAATTAAAAGTCAGAGATGATAAAGTTAAAAAAAATACAAAATATTCTTCTTATTAGTCCAATTTAAATTATCTACAATTCGCATACACTTTCAGATCTCTCTTAGAATTATCGTTGGCAGAAAATTAATATGTTAAAAAAATATTCACTGAACAATTAAATTTAAATTAGAATTTAATAAAAAGAACAATTGCAAAATAATCACTTATGCAATGACATCTAAATTTTACTAAAGCCTTTAGAACAAACAGAAAGTCTTAAATCATTAATAAAGAAAAATATCAGAGAAAATCCTAAAACAACAATTAAAATACTTTAAGCATGAATAGTTTAGAATTTCCTAACTTGAGAATTTATTTGAGACAATCTTTAGATAGAGAACTTTTTAAAACAATTAAAAAGACCACTGGATAATACCGTATGATCGAAAAAAAACGGCGTCCAGTTGGCTGGGAAATGAACATCAATGACATTTCCCATATAAATTTACATATAAAATGACAGCGATTTTCATTCCATAGCCATCGCTGACGCCGTTTTTTCTCGATCATACGGTATAAGATCTACACGGAGTAAATTCGACCGTCTAATTTAAAAGTCAGTACCGAACTAATTTTGAAGATGAAAATACTGATGCTGGTACCACCGTAGATAAAACTCACTGAGTTTTATGTACGATGCTGGTACTATCTCGGAAAGGCGTTACTACATCTTCGGCACGCCCCTGTTTGAGGAACCTTCGAATACCCATCCAAATGCATATTTTGCACCTTTTTAATTGGCCGAAGGCCTCCTTCCCCGAAAGATCCCTAGACTTCTTTCACCCTTGTTTCTGGTCCTTATCCCGAGAGGGCATCAGCATGTCCTATTTATTAATTAAATGTAATTTTTAAACCCTTCCGTGTAAATCTTACTCTTTTACCAATTTGCTGGATAATATTCATAATCTAAGCCTTAACTAATACGAATGATATCGTGCCATAGGATTACCTTAGAAAAAAAAAACGCCTAGAAATTAACTCTTTATTTCTTCACATTTTTGTCTATTTCTATTTAACTCTAGGAACGGAAAAAAGATAATCCTATTTCTATCATTTTCAGACATTCATCTCGTAAACATTTGGATTCTGATTTTAAAACATATATTTAATACTTTTAATTTTCAATGTAAAACCTCTAGCGAGGGGATGATTTAATTTTACTTATTTCCTTAAGCATGCCTACGTGCTTTTTCTGCGTTGTTTATTTTGAGATATCCCTAGGGTACACACACAACTGGTACCACTCTGTCAAATAGAGTTTTGATAATAAGGGATGAATGTTTTTTCTACTTTACCCTCGTTTATGTGACTTTAAATTATTTAGAAGATTGTATTATTTGCTTAGTTAGTTTCTCAGGATATATGCGTACCTTTAGAGAGTTTATGTGTTTTAAATATCATTAGATTATTTGCTTAGGCCTTTTAAAATTCGTTTGCCTATGTCGACTGATAACTTCGTAAACTGAAATGGTCCCATCTTAGAATAACAAACCAAAAAGATAAAATTTTACAAAGCTTGATATTATTCTATTACATATATCTTTTTATTTCCATTCTTGGTGTATATTGACAAATTTATTAACGGTTTAAACAGAAAGGTAAGTAAAATGCATGCAGAATCAAAATAACCGAGTTATTTTGATTCTGATTCTTGATTAGTTTAAAACCCTAAATTAAAACTATAGGATTTTCTTTACTTCAACCAACTTAAATCAACGTTTATAACACCAAAATCCACACCTAAACCCTGAAAGCTTCGCCTCGTCTTTCGTAAAAGACCAAATACGTTCACTGAATTTAAAAGTAAAGTTTTTCAGGAAAAAAGGCTTCGGGCAATGGTACAACCGCAAATCAAGAGACGGCGAGCCAAACTTTCGAGTTCACTTTATCCCTCTGAAAACCTCGTCAACGTCTGATGAATAGGCTACGGAGTAAAAAGCATTTGTCCACGTCCGACTCCTGTCAAATACTTAATCAGATTGGTCTATTAATCAAACGCCGTTGGAATCGATGCTCTAGTATAGAACACTCTGTCTGTTGGAATTATTGATCTATGTCACCTTATAAAACTATTAATCATAGATGTGGCAAATTTTGGTATTAGGCTGTCAATTAGTCGACTGTGGTTTTTCTATCTAACATTTTTTATGTTAATGTTTATTTTTGTGTTAATGTTAATTTCTATGTTATTCCCAGCAATTAATAGAGGAAAATCGTGGTTATTTGGGAAGGCCTCAAAAGGATACAATTATGTTTATTACAACGTTTTGCGTTTCTCGAGCAGATTATTATAAAAGCAACAGTTGTATCACAGATTATACAGATTATAATCTTTGTTTTTTCTTTATTGTTATTCGTGGTTCCAATTTTCGGAATCGGGCACTAGTTAGGTGACTAGTTTGCGCACATAGCACGCCCACTTATGACCTCTAAAATTGTGCACAGCGCCTGACCGGCACAGTTATTAGAGAGATATCGCAAAACCGAATAGCGTCATGCAGTATTTACGCGTACCTTATCATGGTCAGTCATGGTTACTGCGCGAGTCAATTTTTAACGCAACGCTCGCTGATAACGTTACCGTAATTTGCGGATCAATTACACCAAGCGCTATTTCTAAATAACGTTTAAAAATTGCTTAAATGGGCATGTGCGGGTATTTGACAACCGGGGCCGGCCGGCGAGATCTTTTATTTTAGGTTATGTTTGAATTGTTTTGAATTATTACTTTAGTTTTATTAGGTAATTTGATATTTAAGTAGCTGGGATTAGTTTTAATTAAATAAATATGACCCAAAATATTGATTCCACCTCTTCCAATATTAAAGAACCTATAAAGAGACTTAAGCCTTGTTCATGTAGACGCGAATCGCGATTTTGCGAAACTGCTCTCATCGGTCCAATTTTAATGATCATGGCGGCGCTGTCAGAAATTTTAAGATTTTGGCGATTCGCAAGATTTAAAATTTGGGGGGCGGGAAAATTAAAGTGTTTTCAACTTTTTGCGAATATTCGCGCGATTTTAAGGTTCGCGTTTGCGCAGAATGGTGTTGTGATCGGTTATCGATTATTTTGAAGACGCTGACAAAGTACAAAGTAACTGAAAGGATTTCTCCAGGTAAAATGGGTTGTTTATGATATGTTTTTGATATATATTGTGACAATTTTTCAACCAAGTTATCAAACTCCTGTACAGACAATCTGTGAAAATTCCTAAATTTTTTCTCATCTTTTGTCCTCATTTCTTGAATTAAATTGCGATAAGCACCCTTGTTGCTTACGAAATTTAAATATTTCACATGTCCCAAATGACCGTTCTCTTCTACGTTTTAACAATAAGTAAATGGCAATTTTACGCCTTCTGTTCCAATCCCACAATCGTAATCAATATTCATAATCATTAAACAAATTTGAACTCATATTAGATTTGTTCGGGTTCTTGTTATTACCGATTCTGAACCGTCCTAGAACTCTGCAGTGCATGCGCAAATGAAATAATGTCTTCATATTTCCTTCTGCGCATACGCCTTACAATTCTAGGACGGTTCAGAATCGGTAATAAGAGAAACTCGAAGTAAGCTATTGTATGCTGTCAACTATAAAATAAAGGTCGTAAACACGAATAAAAACAAATTAAGTTATCTCAGGTTATGATTTTTTTTGGTAACTTTCAGTGGAGCAAAATTGAAATGTCCTTAAAAATTCGCGACTGTATGAAATAGCTCCAAATTTTGCGAATATTTTTTGGCGAATCGTTTTCCGCAATTCGCAATTCGCGTCTACATGAAACAAGCTTTAGGTTTACAGCAGATGGCGACTTAGCCCTTCTAAGAGAATTATTTGTTGTTTGTTGCTCTAAACCCACTGGCAGACGTTGAACAATAAAGCACTGGAAAGAAGCACTTTAGCCCTTTAGTTTTAAAATACCTAGTAAACAAAACAATTTCAAAGTTTTAAATTCAAAGTTAGGTTAAATTTAAATAGCGGGCGGGACGCGAACAGAATTCTTTCCGATCCGATAACTCTGCCGATAACTATAAATGAAGAGAGTTAATACCACCGCACGTAAAGGAAATACCATCTGGCCTTATTAACGTCCATGCACGCTATTCGGTTTAGCGATATCTCTCTATTATGCTGTTTATTGTTATTTTACGGGAGTTTATTTTTGCGCACAGGAAATTTGACTCGTTTGCACATCGTCATAAAAAACAATTTTTGTACCACGAATTAGGGATAAGATTTTTATCTGTATACATATAGTGTAACGTTTTTAGTTCGTTACATGTCTTTTTTATATATAATATATGATGTCTGGTCTATCATCACCGGATTCCCTCTCGTTCAGGCCGGATAGTTTATTTGACGCGTAATTTTTACGTTCCCTAGTCGCCAACCCTGTTATCGTTCGACACAACCCTGTTATCGCTCTGAGGAGGCGCTGTCAACATCGCTTCTGTCAACTCTCTCCGTGCTTAACCTCACTTTGTTTTGACGCTCTGTTGTATCCCGGCTTTTAGAAATGGTGATTATTTAAATCTTGCTGTATAATTTGAATCAGCTGCTATTTCGAGGCTACAGGTAAAGATGAGTTATTACCTTTTATAGATTCGATATTATTATTGAATATTTTTAGGGTAGAGTTACGGATGTCCCAACTTGTATTTGTATTTTGCTGGCACGTTGGCGTCCCTTTTCTTTTGTCCTCCAGAATGTCACATGGAAGAAAGGACATGTTGTTTATTATTTATTGAGCCCTCGGAAGTATTTCGAGGTAGGTTTATTTTGTTTATTAGACCTTGTTTGGTTTTAAACAAGAGTTTCGTATTTTTAGTGTCCAAGGTACGGACTGTGTCCAAGGTACGGGTAGTGTCTTATGTACAGACATTATCTTATGTACGGATGTCCTGTGGACGAGTGTCCCCAGTAAGAACGATTTTTTCTTACATATAAGTGACACAGCGTGGATGTAGCTTGAGTCCCATGCTGCTTCGTTCCCAGCTGTAAGCTAGTTAGTTACGGCTGTACCAATTCATGGTGCCCTCATTCTGGCCCCTTTGGTTGTGTTGGATGGCTGAGTACAGAGATGCGAGACCACATCACGCTGTTACTGTTTAAAGCAGGATTGCATAAAGAACAGCTAAGTGTAGATTTAAGTTATAGTTTTGCATTTAACATTCAAAACATTTACAGTCTTAAACAATAACGTACATCTTAAATAATATCGTATAGACTATGTTGAGTGGTTAGATTGTTAAGAACATTCCTGTCGATTTAGTAGTTAAAATATAATTTAGATCTTAGGTTTCATTGCATTATGTCTTGTAATAGTATTACTTTTTTATAGATATTATTATTGCACTAACATCATATAAAATATATCAAATTAATTAAAGTAATGCTACATTTCATATATTCTCTTAAACTTTACATGTCTTATATTTTATCATAGTTGTTTTCATAGATATTTAGTACAACTCTTACCACCACTTTCTTTGACATATAACCACTACATATTCGCTAGAACTCTACAATGTCATGTATCAGCAACGAACATCATGAATAAATATAGTCATTAGTTTTAGGTAACATACAACTGTGTTTTCTTTCTCTGTACATGCCTGGCGCCCAATATCTATTTTTTTTGTTTATTGTTCTTAATTAGTTTTCTTTCCAGTGAAATATCTTATCCACGACTGCTCTCCGATGAAAAGTTGCCGTTCGCAGTGGTAGTTGTTTAAAAAACGCTACAATAGTATACTTAATATGTGGTTGTATTCGCCATGAATCATTTTGTAGGTAAGTTTTTATTCGATTTTGTTTTGATATGTAAGTTTAATATTTTAGGTAAGTTTTAATCGTTCGTTTTTGTTTTGATATTGAAAAACATGTGCTTCTCCTATAGTGCCTGAAAAAGTTAAAATAAAATCGCGAAACATCGCAAAACACATAAATAAATGTTTCCTTTTGAAACTTCTCAAATACCCACGATTTTTTTCTACATAATATTTTTTCAATTAGAATATGTTGTACATTTACTCTATGAAAGACCCCATACTTTAATTAACGTCATAGAAAATATATACAGTGCCAACAAAATCCAGGCTAAGATCGATGGGGAACTCACTGAACCAATACCTGTGAAAAAGGGCATACTTCTTTTTAATAATGAAATGAAATTTAAATAACTCGGTATAGAGCTATCAGGTTATGGCGATATCATCACATATGTGTCGAGGTCAAGCCAAGAATATAAAAGACTGTTGTCAGACCCGTAAAGAACAAAATGCATGTATTAATTACTAGGTATGGTGCTTTAATTTTCATTATAATATCATTGAATTAAAGAATTTTATGAAGGTATTTCGTGTTTTTTTAAAACAATTTTCCTTTAATTAGTTCCATCTTTCGACTAGACGTCCCTTCTTTAGGTAATATAACAAAAAAATTATACGGAATATTAAATTATAAAAGAAATGTTCTTTTCTTATTATATCCGAAACGTTTAAAACGAAAATTTTTTATCGCCAGATATAAAAATCAATCGTAGAAAAGAGAGCGCGGGACGTGAATGATATTAAGAGGTATAAATTTTATGAAGTCACTAACACGAAAATAATCACAATCTGGAGCAAAATTTATATTGGAGAGGTACCAGAAAACCGTAAATTTAGTTCGGTGCACCCCTGTTCGTTCCAGCTCAAAAGAAAATTAAGTCAATTTGTTGCAAGCCGTCGTCGCAAAGGCATTTGTCGGCTCTAACCTTAGACCATGGACGTCGCAGATACGGATATAATCTTCCAACTCTGTTCTCAACAATGACTAAAGAATACAAGGGCACGTATTGCCCATACACAGGCTGGAGCAAGATTTGTGCTGTTAGATGCCATTTTTTTGGAGACAAAGAATCAGGCAAACATTTTAACAATTTCTAATAGTCTGTTTTGTGTAGTTAACTTTGATTAAACTTTATTACAATGGTGATTTGTTCGGCTTTTAGAATAATTAGAATAAGTGGGAGGGGGGTTAATCTCTGCGACCTTAGAGATCTATTGTGTCCCCCTTTCTTGAGTTATAACTCATCATACAGTCCCAGGACTTTCTACGGAGACCCTGTGTCCTTCACAGTCGAAGAGCTACGACCCAGGGCGGGTAGACGAAACGGTAGCTTGTGTCGCCTGTTGGGTTTAGAGGTAGGAGGTAGGCTCCCGACCCTTGGAGGAGGTGGTAACTTGTATGCCACTTGCGGAGGATGGTCTCACGCAAGTGTCAGCCACCTCTCCTGTAGTTCTCTTTGGGTTTGGCCCCTTGGTACTTTCATTGTTACTGTTCCCAGTGTTGCTAGGGGGTTTCCCCACAGCTTCACCGGTGATGTTTTTATTACTATTATTACCAGATCTCATAGTGTTTCCATGAGTCGCTAGGGACAGTCGGTCCACTTCTACAGAGCCCCGCATGTAGAAGTAAGGGGTAAAATACAATGGGGTGCCCCACGATGCCCCAAGGTTGAGGCTGTCCGTAGCCCCGCCCGG